TTTTGCGTTGAAAACTTTAAAAGGTGTATCACTTTTCAAATCGTTGCCACCAAATACTATCGCCCTGTCTTATATTTAAAGAAATTAAATAACGGAGAATCTGCATGAATATATGTATGTTTCTCTTACTCTGATAAAACAACGGTACCCAGAGACATCCAATTTTGAATGACGTAATCCTACTGCGAATATGGGCATCTGAAAGCCCAAATTTGAAATTTGGAATTTGTTTTATTGTCGATTTCATATTTTGTAAAATTTTAACGAATTTTCGATTAACAAACTCAACGATTTACAAGCTAGCAATGACAACAATGTACGGGAAAAAAAAAAATAAAATAAACTTTCGATCTCTATCGCGCGGAACTGTGTATGGGAAATTCTAAAGATATTCTCATTTAAAAATTTTTTTGAGACATTGCTTTTGAACTGAATTTTATGGTTTAAGTTCAAAGAACATGATATTTAAAAAATAAAGGTAACACACAAAACGTTAAAAAAACGTCCCTTTGAACGTAATTTAAAATCTGAAACCTTTCAGAATTTTTTTCCCCCCGTAGAGTGTTGGCATTACTCGCTTAGAAATCATTGAGTTTTTTTTTAACAAAAAATTCGCTCAAATTTTACAAAATATGAAATACATAATAAAACAAATTCCAAATTTGGCCTTCCGTATTCGGGTGGAAACCTAAGTTATTCAAAATTGGATGGCTCTAGGTACCGTCGTTTTATCACAATGCGAGAAACATACAGAAAATTGCATACTCACTTTAAGAGACGGTATTTGCTTATTGGTTTAAAAATTAAACAGAATTATATTTACTTGCTTTGTAGGAAGTAAAGGAAGTGTCGTAATCGCGAAAAATTTCGAGTATAATATTTCAATGAAATTATCCATTTTGACCGCTTTCAAATCCATTTGAACGATCTTTTGGAGTGACATCTGTACGTACTAATAGAATAAGGGTTTTCCGAAACGGATTGTAATATGGATTCAGGAAGGATTTTTTTTCCCCAACGTCTGTACGTGCAAATGTTTGTAGGTATCTCTCCATAACTCAAAAACGATTAGAAAGTTGAATTTTTGTATACGGAAATCCTATAGTATGCATTTGTACACCCGTTTTTGTGTTGCAATCGGTCGCACCAAATGTGTGCGTGTATATATATAGACAAATTAAAATATATAAATATATACCGACTATCTTACCCGCTTTTGAGAGCTCTGTGTTTTTATTCTTATATGTTGGCAAATTGTGCATTTTTTTGCTTTAAAAGCAATTAAGTTATGTTGTTCTTGAGTTTGGGTTAAAGTCTGGTTAATCTGCACACAGTAGTTTTAGAATTATCAACAGTTTAGAAGCTTAAATGGTGCTAGGCCTAACGATGACGCCATTTGGTTACATTTTATATTCTTAGTAGAATAACGAATTAATTCAGTTGGTACACCAAATTCAATGTCTTTTCTCCCATTGGCACTAAAAGTTAACGTTCAATTTTGTGCATCTATAGTTTTGTCTTGTCCGTTGACCGAACTGCTTATTTTTTCGATGCTCATTGAGTGACACTGGCCTACCAGCGGCAGAGCGGCAAAATCGCTAAATACTAGTAGTTTGGTCCGGAGCTGGAATCCCGGCTGGCTGCGTGGGCGTTTTCATGATTTTCCCCATGTGTAACGTGTATACGAGCTAATTTCCCTTAGAAAGTCCTCCACGAAGGCATCCCTCCGCATAGGCAGATAGCCTTCGATGCCTTACGGTAATCAAGTAAAAGCAAACTAACTTACTCAGAATTAAGACACAATAACACACCGAATAAATACTAATTCAGAAGTCAAACAACAAAAATCAGTGTAAATTTTCAAAATTTTCACAGGACTAGTTTCGATGGTTTTACCAAACCACCATCCTCAGCTGCAAAACCGGGAAAAAAAAAAAAAAAAAACTTTTGAATTAGTAACTTACTCAGCATTAATTAAAATCCTTTCAATTAACATTTGCATCGCTTTTTTCCTTTTAATAACGCAAAACTATGCAGGTCTGCTTAAATTTTATATACTTTCTTACTCTGAATTATACCTAACACACTTTTTTCCATTGAAAGTTAACTTTGCGGATTGCCCTTTCGCTTTACCCGAAGTGTGTTAATGATGTATCTTTTGAGTTTAGCAAGGGTTTGCTGCAGTTTCGAAATAGCATGTGTTTTAATATAGTATATTTTGCAGAAATAGAAAAAAAGATGACAAATACTCATCATATTCTTAGTTACAATAATTACCCTGAGTAGAATTTAACAAAAATGATATTCTCAAACGTAAAAGTATCTCGAATATAACATATTTGACTGGATATTTTAGGGATACATGTATAGGTTTGACCCAAATATAACATGTAAGGGTTATTACAAAATAATTGAAATGAAACATATAAGCCTTAAAACTACAAGAAAAATCACGATTGGATATTTTAAATTTTGTAAATGAGTCACGCGGACGGTAAAGAGTTTAGTAACCCTGATTGGCATACGGAAGCTCCCGGGACCGAATCCCGAATAAGGCAGGGATGTAAATTGTCTGTCCCTTCATAGGAGACCACGTCTATTAGGTGTCTCCATAATAAAATCCATCCGGTCAAGATCCTAGTATTGGCACAAGCCTAAAATGGCTGGTGTTCGCCATTGTTTTTATTTACTTATTTATTTATTTTATTGCCCAAAGGGCGTTAGCCCAGAAGGGCTATTAATTTCGTTTTTGCATTTTGCGTCGAAACCCCTAAACGTCAGTTCACTTTTCAAACTGCTGCCACCAATATATATATTTAAAGAAATCAAATAATGAAGAATTTGCATAAATGCATGTATGTTTCTCGTTTTCAGGAAGGACGTAATTTAAAATCTGAAATCTTTCAGATTTTTTTACAATTAAAATTACAGTTTGTAAGCGAAAACAAGCTAATAACTTAAATGATAATTCCAGTATGAATTAAGCATAATTTAATTCTCAATAACAAAAGAAAACGTTTCTTTTTATAATGAGCATTATTTATGAATTATTTACAATTAAACTGATTAACAGTAGATGATTATAAAAATAAATAAATAGGTTCATTAAAACAATTTAGAGGCCTTTTACAATAATCTGTCTATTAATCTATACTAAAATTATAATCATTTTTGCATTATTTCCTGTTGCTTAAAATTTAAACATTTTCTTGCTATACATTTATCAATCTTAACGTTGTATTTTCAAGTCGGCTTCTTTTTTCAGACGAGTAATATACACTCAGTGTAAATAAAATACCATGAACTAAAACAAAATTTGTTCCGAAAAAAGCAACCCGAGGTTTATATCAACATTCCGGATATTTTTCAGATATATGTATTATTCATCTTCGAAGAGAATTAATTATGCAGAAAAGATCGTGTTAGAAATTGGCGAATTCTCAACTGACTGTTGGCTGACATCCCTTCGCCAAGTTGGCGATCGAAAACGTCAGACATTTCTCCAGCAACCCTAATCTCTCAGCTGACGGTTTCTGACGGTGAAACGTCCGACCGAGAACAGTGAATACTCTGGTTGTTGAGTCTTCTGGTAGCGAAGGTTCCTTGCTCTGTACTTGCAAGCGGCGTGTTCTGAGCTCGGACGGACACGTGCGGATAGCAGAATACTGTTTTGGATGTATATTAACAGCAACTGGATTTCTTTTTAATATTTATTGGCTATGGAGTGAATCGAAAAAAAATCTGTACCGGAAAGTGTGCTTGCCTTATCACGAAACATACCTACCAGTTGGCGGGAACAGAGTAAATGAAACAACATTGTTTTTAAATTTTTTCCTAAGATGTGTAATCGATCTCTTGTGTTCTTTGGCATTTAATTCTTCAGTACATCTTTGTTACCTAGTCGTGTGGAAATATCAGTGTTCTAACATTGAAAACAGTGTTTTATATGTTCCGTAACTTGAAAGTGACAACTTGACGTCTATTTTGGTGTATTTCCTCAGGACTATATTTGAAAGTGTGGGAAGAAAGTAAATCCATCATGTGCTTCAAAACAATTCCTTTAACTCCGTAACTAATAACGGTTACGAACGCAACTTCTTTAGAGTGTTGAAGTAAGTGACGGTTAACGTTGACCAAATATTTGACCTGAAGCTTTCAACTGTTGCTTGTTCTGCAAGGTTTGAGTTAATTCTTGAGCATTACAGGCAGTAAGTACTTGGTCGTAAATTGTAAGAATTGGAATTTTAGTACTTTTTCGCCTTTAAATGGAGGAAGTGGAAGATATGGTTTTTGTGCAACAGCTGAATTCTTTTGTGCACCAGTGGATAGAATTGGGAAACATTTTCGAAAATATACCAGAAATTCCAAACCTGCGACTAGTCCAAATTCTTCCTCCAGCGTGTATTGCCATAGCTCTTACGCATAGTATCGAAGGTGCTTTAACCAAACAGTTTTGGAAATATTAATGTTAACGGCTTCTATAAATTTTTGTACGACCATTTGTCATTGGATTTCATTATATCTAGGATTTTAATTTTTGTACGCTCCCTCACAGGAGGAAAATTAATGGGTGCTGGAAGATAAATAACCCATTTTTATAGTTTATACGAAAGGGGATCTGAAAGTGCCCTGATTATTGGATGTGTATTATCTCATCAGTGTTTGATTTATTTACGCGTAGTAAATAATCAGTGTTCAAATCTTTCACGTTTTTATTATTCTGCCAGCGAGATAAATGGTGCTATACTATCTTCAGTCTGCCCACAAGTGATTCAATAGAAGAAAAGGATATATCAAGTGCAATTTTTAGTGGTCATAGATTGCATAATTTGGGAGTGTTATTGTGAATATATATATTTGCTCAACTGAACTGCACTTCTTGAAATTCACAAAAAAAGAAAACGACAATGCCACCGATAGCTTCTAGCTTGACAGTCACCGGTGTGATTTGGGCGTGCCTATCGTTCATTTCAGCGATTCTGAACGCTGCTGGATTTTATATGCCGTACTGGATCAAAGGCATGCTCTCGGACGGTACTGATGTCAGTTTTGGATCTTTTCGACGGTGCAATTACCCGCGTTTGACAACTTCGGGTAAACTGGAGATGATACACGAGTGCGGGAGATACACTTCCTTTCCGGATATACCTAGCATGTCCTGGCAAGTGACAACTATCACTGTCGGAATTGGTGCTGCGGTGTCATTACTCGTGGCTTTTACAGCCCTGTCTGCATGCTGTCTGGCGGATGTGATAACTAAGACCACGGCCAGAATTCTGGGCCTGGTCCAACTTATTGCAGGTAAGTTGCAATACACTTTTTCTTTCTCGTATTTCAAAAGTTATGTATTGGAACTGAAGATAGTGCTGGAAAGTATCGATATTCTTCTAAATAGCAAATGTGCAAAAATGTATTGGTGAATGTGTATAAAAATATTCCATTAAAAGTACTGCTAAACAATCATGTTTCTAATACTGAAATAAAAATCTTGCAATTTTTAGAATTAACGTGACGCATGAATCGGTATTTTAAAAGGTCGGATTTCAGTCCATAAATTAATTTAAATTTAGCAGTTTCTAAATTTGGAAGTGGTTTAAGTTCTTAATGTCTTAGGGAAGGAGGTATCAAGTAATTTAGTAATTAATATACATTTGTGTGTATAATATCGTTCTGCTAACGATTCGTAAATGACAGTGACTTCTAGAATGAAAAAACAGCAAGTGGAAATTTTGTAGATTTTTGCATTATAAACCATTTACATTTTTTTAATATGGTTGTGTGAAAATATGTGAATTTGATATTAATTTAATTGATTTTAATTCCTGGAAAAGTTTTATTCTTAGCAGTTTTAATAATACCCAGCTATTTGCAGTCTTTCTCGGCTATATCGAAGTAAAAAGTTGTGCAAATTTTTAAAACTTTTATGAAGTATAAATTTTGCTAGCTTTAATGTTGAGCAGATTTTACTATACAAAAGCGAAAGTTCTTTTTTGTGTATTAGTAACTTATCATCCACGGCAAGCATGCAGAAGAGGAGGAGGGGGAGTTCCAATTGTGTACGTGAATTGTTTTACAAATTAATCTGAAAGCTGCGCTTTGCAGACATAGTAACTAACCGGTTATGCGAACTAAACTGGTTCAGAAGCATTTCGGATTACACATTTTTTTCATACGATGTGTTAAGCATTTTCGTTACTTCAAGGTAACTGTAAAAGCATATTAACACTATTAAGCACAAATATGTATACGTATTTTAATATATTTATTTACGTAGTAATTTTTTTTAATGAAGCAATTTTGTTTTGGCCGTTGACTGCCGTGCAGATTTCAGTAGCAGGTATTTTGCTTGGTTAGCTATTTTTTTTTTTTTTTTATGAGGAATGAATTTTTTTTTTTTTTTATTCGGTAGTTAGTTACAGTTATGAATATATTTTTCTTGATATAAATTTCAGAATTTTCCTAATATTTTAATTTAAGTTACGTAAAGTAAGTGTTTTAATTTTAGTTACGTAATGTGTAGTTGAGTTTAGTTTAATGGAAGTATTTATCAGAAAATGTTATATTTTTATTGCCGATATTATTTTTAATTTACTGAATAAGTGTCCTTTAAAGACAGCTGATGAAACACATGATGTGTTGTATTATGCTTCACAGTTGAGGGGGAGATGTATCAGGAACATGTGCTGGTAAATCTTTACATTATGGTAACTTGGCGATTTTTTGGTGAAAATTTGGCGACCAACCCTGCTACTTTTGTTTTGGACGCCATTTTGTTTTCACGAAGTAAAGGAATTATTATTTTTTTTTTCTCTCAACATTTTTTCCAACAATCTGCTAGCCGAATTACGCTTATACTAGAACTTTTATGGAACAAAAATGCTTAATCATGACGAAGATAAGGTGCGAAAATGGGAGAAAGTGCAGAATCGCAAATACTTTCCGAGTTTTTAGAATTGCACATACAACGTTCCATGTACACGTCGACCTATTTTCACTAAAAAAAAAATCCCACATTCCACAAAAATGGTATTGCGCACACTCTTGACTTTATCTATGTACACATCGACCTATTTCAATTAAAAGGTCAAAGAAAATTGACAAAATCCAATTCGCTGATCTTACAATATGTAACTGGTAGTTTGGCGACATTTGGAGGCGATAAAGGACCTGGGACTTTGGTAATAATGTGAGCAGTACTCAGTTCCGATTACGCATTATTTTGTGTGACGGAAATGAGAAGATGTGATATGTCATGTGATATTAAACGAATTACGGTTCTTTATCGGAAAAGGGGGGAAATCGGGAAAAATCGGGAATTTGTATTTGCCTTTATTCTGTTTGTGTGAACCAAGTTCTTTAATATACTAAGGTTAGGCCAGGAACGGAAAAAGCGTGCCATTGGTTGCTGGTAGTGACGTCACCCGGGAGACAAGACGCATCGGCCGACGCGTCTGCTACATGATTTTGGTAATGGAAAAAATGTAAACTAAAGCAAAATGATCATTTTATATGTGGTAACCGGAAATACCGGGTATATACTTTCCGATTAAGTATTTAGTTTAAAAAAAATGTTTTTTATGCACAGAATTCGTACGAATGCTGAAAATAATTGTAAACATTAATTTTTTCGTAAAGCAAAGCATTAGAAAATGAAAAACGATATTTAAGTTAATTAAGGGAAATAAATATTGTAAACAAGGTATTTTTCAATATTTTTTCGTAGTATTGTTTGCACTAAATAAATCTTGTTGAACAGAACACATGATGGCATAACTGCTAAGACCATGGTAAAAACATAATCAAAAAGTATTATTCTATTTATTTTCATTGCCATGCACTTTCCATGAGAAATATATGATCGTGATTTTCAGTTTCAAATTACATATCTCAAGCAAAAATATTATAAAAAGATGTTGACTTAACAAATTCATATTTAAATACCATAAAATCTACAAATTTCTTAATATCCGTCATTATACTTTTAAATAGTATACTTATCACATTCTTTTTAAAGTGAAAAGTCACTTCATACTGATTCACTTCAGATTTTAGCAGAAGTGCGTATATTTTTCAGTATAATCTAAAAGTACTCTTATAATCCTTACACTCCCAAGATTTCTATATAACATTTATCCTGACGTGATTATTTGCTATAGTAAATAATCTTCGATATTGGCATCCTATTCTTCCTTCCATACATTAAAAAATGGAACAATTAAAATACATTTTCTTACACATATACACACAATAATAATAATAATAAACTTGCCTTACATCTTAGTTTTCGGCCCACCAGCGGCCGAGCGGTAAAAGTCGCTGAACACTGGGTAGTTCGGTCGAATCCCGCAAACGGGCTGGCTGCATGGGTGTTTTCGTGGTTTTCCTCATGCGTAACGTGTATACGAGCCAGTTTCCCTGAGAAAGTCCTCCACGAAGGCATCACACCTATTACGCAGATAGCCTAGTGTGCTTTGCCATAATTAAATACACCACCACATCTTAATTCAATTCAGTGTACACAAATTAAATATTTTTAATTACTAATGTATTTTTATTAGCTTGTTCTTAAAATACTTTTGTTATACTCGAAATATTGTTCAATATTGAATTATTTTTCTTTCTCTTATAATTAAAAACAAGTTATATGGAATCAAAATTAAAACATAGCAGCAGTTAAATAACACTGAACAGAATATCTTACTTTCTTTCGCTATTGTATTCTAGCAGTATACACAGATTTGTTTTCCTTCAGGTTCAAGCATGTGTAAGTATATCAATTAAATTACATCACACATACCTGTATGCATCAGTTAAATAACACTGAAGGAAATATGTCACTCACTCATTCGATGTTTGCAGCATAGTTGTGGTCGAGAAATTGTTCCTTTCCTCACGGTGGTGAGCATGTATCAGTTTACTTAGTTCGCAAAGCTTAACCCAGACGCTGCTTCAATACATAATTACGTTTGGGATGTAAAGAAAGTAACCAAAACATGTGAAGAAGTTGGATACGCAAATTATTAACTAATCATTTAGGTACTCAGTATTGGTAAACATGACACTGAGTTTAAATATCTCACTACGATGTAAGTCTCATACACAAAATGAAGATTATGATAAAAAAAGATTTAAAATGAGAATTTTTCAATTTAAAATGTAAATAGCATAAAATGAAAAATAAATGTAAAATTACATCACAGTTATGTATGAAAACTACATAAATTCATTAAAAAAATAGTTATTTTATCTGATTGTAAAAGTGGTTTTCCGCCAAAAAAAAAAGTATTAACGTGTATAATTCTGACACAACGCTATAGCACATTTGCCACTTCCGCTTAGGTATAATAGCAAAATAACAACACAAATCAAATCAAAACTGTTGATGCAACGAAAGTAAACAAACGCCAAGACTAACTCTGTCACCCACATGACGTCATGCGTATGTGGCATAACTTCTCCCTGCACTGCGCATCGCTCTTGGGCCCCCCCCCCCCCCGGTGGAACAGTGTCGTTAATTTTGTATCCCTGCAATGCCCTTTTGTGTAATTCGGGGATTTTTTTTAAGAAAAATTAGTCGCGTGTACAGTTAAGGTATGTGTTTTATGTTTTGAAACGCGAAGGAGTATGGTATTGTGCACTTTTTCCCATTTTGCAGTGATATTTGTCATGAACGTTGGTTGATCTTACAATATGGTAAGGTCGTTTGGCGACTTTTGGAGCATAAAGTTACTACCTGGGTGGTGTGTGGTGTATTTAATTATGGCAAAGCACACTAGGGCTATCTGCCTAAGGGAGGGATGCCTTCGTGGAGGATTTCTAAGGGAAACTGGCTCGTATAACGTTACACATGGGGAAAACCACGAAAACACCCATGCAGCCAGCCCGTTCGCGGGATTCGAACTCGGACCGAACTACCAGTTCACGACTTTACCTCGGGCCGCGGTGGGCGTTACTACTGGGACTTTGGTAATAATGTGAGCAGTACTCAGTTCCGATTACGCATTATTTTGTGTGAGGGAAATGAGAGACATGGGATTGTCATGTGTTATTAATGGACGAATTACGGTCTTTATCTTAAAAGGGGGGAAATCGGGAAAAAAAAATCTGGAAGTTTTGTATTGGCTTATTCGTGTGTGTGAACAGTGTTCGTGTTTTTGGATCCCATGGCCGTAATAAGTGATTCGAATGGGTTTATGTATGTATTAATTTAATGTAGTGCCCATTATTTTTAAGTAGTGTTTTTTGAATTTAATTATATTTAATTAAATGATAGTTATTTTGTGAATTTTATGTTTGTAGGA